TTGGAGCCCCACTTGCTGCCACTGAAGGCCCCGAGACCAAGCCTGTGCTGATGGCCCTGGCAGAGGGCCCTGGTGCTGAGGGCCCACGCCTGGCCTCACCGAGTGGCAGCACCAGCTCAAGCCTGGAGGTGGTGGCTCCAGAGGGCACCTCAGCTCCGGCTGGTGGTCCGGGTGCCCTGGATGACAGTGCCACTATCTGCCGCGTCTGCCAGAAGCCAGGCGATCTGGTCATGTGCAACCAGTGCGAGTTCTGCTTCCACCTGGACTGTCACCTGCCTGCCTTGCAGGATGTGCCAGGGTGCGAGGCTGTGGGTGCTGGGGTGATGGGCTGGCCAGGGTGGGGGCAGCTCCTCATTTTTTGTCCCCTCCAGGGAGGAGTGGAGCTGCTCACTCTGCCATGTGCTACCTGACCTGAAGGAGGAGGATGGCAGCCTGGACACTGGTGACAGCACTGGAGTGGTGGCCAAGCTGTCACCAGCCAACCAGCAGGTGAGGATGGGGCCTTTCCCTTGGTTGTTAAATAGCTCCATGCCCCGCCCCTGCTGACATTCTCTATACTGTTTCTCGCTATAGAAATGTGAGCGTGTCCTGCTGGCCCTGTTCTGCCACGAGCCTTGTCGGCCCCTGCACCAGCTGGCTACTGACTCGAGCTTCTCCTTGGTGAGTCCTGGCACTTGCGGGGAGTCCTGGGCAGGACTGGGCACCCTGCCTCACCTGCTGCCTGTGGCCTCTTACTGTAGGATCAGCCTGGTGGCACCCTGGACCTTACCCTGATCAGGGCCCGCCTCCAGGAGAAGTTGTCACCCCCCTATAGTTCCCCCCAGGAATTTGTCCAGGATGTGGGCCGTATGTTCAAGCAATTCAACAAGCTGACAGAGGTGAGCCTATGGAGGAGGGCAGGGGTAGGGGTGAGGCTTGGGGAGGGGAGGGTCCAGGAGGGCTGGAACCCACCCTGCCACCCACCTTGCTCAGGACAAGGCAGACGTGCAGTCCATCATTGGCCTGCAGCGCTTCTTTGAGACTCGCATGAACGAGGCCTTCGGTGACACCAAGTTCTCTGCTGTGCTGGTGGAGCCCCCGCCCCTGAGCCTGCCTGGTGCTGGCCTGAGTGCCCAGGAGTTGTCCAGTGGGTCTGGTGATGGCCCCTGAAGCTGGGCCCCTTGAGCTAGCTCAGCCTATCTGTCCTGTTACCCCTGCCCTTCCCCCTCTGGTGGCCTGGCTCCCACTCCTTGGTACCCCCTTCCCCAGCCCCTCACAATATGGTTTTTACTTCTGTGGATTTAATAAAAACTTCACGAGTTCAAGCCTTGCTTGGTGGGGGCAGTGTCCTGGGGCTTGGTCTCTGCCTGCAGCTCTCTCACCAAGCCCTGGTGGGCCCTGCAGGGGTAGGGCGTCCCTTCTGGACCCTCTCTGATGTGGGGAGTCTCAGGTGAGTGGGAGGGTACCCTGTGGGCAGGCACGGGGAAGCCTGTTATGTGCTTGGTGGTGACTCCTCTTCCTGAGTGCCTCCTGGACTTGGCATGACCAGACAGGGCACCAGTGAGCTTGGTGGGCTGAGGTGCTAGAATTCTAGGGTATTGGGAGCCTGCGGTCTGGGGAGTGAGCATAGCGTTGAGGCCAAGGCACTAGAGGCCTGGAACGGATGCTGCAGCTGGACCTACGATTCCCAAGTGTGAACATGCGTGGGCTTGGCCTGTACCTCTGCCCTCCCTAACCCACAACCCAAGTAATCTGGTACTTGTCCTCTTGACAGGCATGCTCTGAGTGATTCAGGCCCCGAGACCTACTGAGGCCAGTCACATAGGCCCAGAAATAAGTGTCCAATGTCTTTTATTACAGGGTACAATAAAAGTGGGTGTCTTATTACAGACAGGGTACAGTGAAAGTGGGTGTCAGCGGCCTGGGGTGGCATGGGGCAGTCAGTCCCTCCGCAGGTTCTTGAGCCGTTCCTCCAGGTCTGCATCTGCATCCACAAGGGCTGACGCCGTGGCCTCTGCCTTCTTCCCAGTGGCAGCCACACTGAGTGAGCCTCCAGTGGATGGGAGGTCTGCAGAGAGATGGGGGTTAGAGCTCCTTGTGGGAGACCGTGTTGGGAGGGAAAACCAAGCCCAAGCCGTGGGCACTCACTGGACAGCTCATCTGTCAGGCTCAGACCCAGCTCATCCAGGACCTGGGACACAACGGCATCACTGGAGGAGAGAAGAGGAACTGAGGGTCAGGCATGAGGGGCAGGTCTGCTCCCACCCCCACTGGATGTCAGTACCTCTCCTCTTCATCTTCCTCATCGCCCATGGCATCGTCAATGGCATCATTCATCATCTCCTCTTTCATGTCCATTATCTCTGCCTGCCGCTCAAACTCCATCATGATCTTCTGGATCTGAGGCAGCTTGAGCTACAAGGTGTGTGTGTGTGGGGTGGGGGGAGAAGGGGTAGGCAGTGAGCCTAGTAGTCCTTGACGGGTACAGGGGTTGGCACCTGGGGGGAAGGGACAGGAACAGGCCTACCTACCTGTCTGTTCATGGTGCCCATGGCTTTGGTGACGCCCTTCATGGCTTGTGCCATGGAGTTGTTGGACTTGAGTGTCTGAATCTTGAGGGATACAGCCTGGATGTTGGCCCGCATCAATACAAACTTGCGCACATAACGCCGTGTGCGTACCAGGTCCTTGGCCATGATGCGCACTGCATCCTGAGGAGATGGGACAGGTGGCAGGCAGAGGCCCTGTGGCTAACCCCAGCAGCCACTGCTCCCTCCTCCCAATCTGGTCCACAGGGTCCTCTGTGAGCTTCTCTGACCTGTGAATGCTGGGCCATACAGTCACTGCCTTGACTTAAACAGAGTCCTGTCCTCGCCACCTCATAGAAGCCTGGCAGTCATAGGCCTACTCAAAGCCAGCTTTTTACTTCTCTCCAGACCTCTTCCTTGCCTTGTCCATCCCAGGAAATGGCACCTCCTCAACCCAGCTGCTCAGGCCCAAACTGTCACCCATCACAGGCTCTGCTCACTCCTGGTTAAGGCAGTGTCTCCTCATGGCCCTCAGGTCCAAGTACCCCACACCATGTCCTTCCTGCAGCAAATGCTTTGGCTCAGCTTCCACTGTGGCCTGTACTGAGTGGTCTGAGCTCACTCAGCACTACTTCATCTAACACTTGCTGCCTGGATCTTCACAGGCACAATCTGTATTACTCATGGTTCGGCTCTGATAATCACTTCCTGGGAGGGGCCATTTTCCTCGAAGCATCTATTGGTGTCCTGTACCACTTGCTAAAGTCAGCAGTGGTTGGCCCTGTGTCCCAGCACCTACCAAACAGAACTCACCATCTGCCCCTGCTTGGCCATCTTCTTGATGTCTGCAATGATTTTCTTCTCCTGGGTCTCTAGCTTCTGTCGCTCACGGTCTAGCTCTCGCATGGCCCGGTTCAGGGCCCGTTGGTTCTGCCGCAGTAGCTCCTCTGGTGTCTTCCGGCGCCCAAACAACAGGTCCATGGCAGCAGGAGCCCGTCAGGGGTGCCTGGGACAAGGGCAAAACCAAGCTGCAAGGCGGCAAGAAAAGTGGCCAGAGGCACAACCAGGGTCACAACGTATGGGGGGCGGGGGAGGCCAAAACAGTGCAGCCCAGAAATATTGTAGCCCAGGGACACAAATGGGGACATCCATAGCGTACCCACACCAGCCCCATCCCCATCCCCATCACAGCCCCAATGGAGGCGCAAGGCTTCATGAAGCCTCCCTCTTCAGACCGGGAGGTGAGATCATGTCTGATGCACTGAGACTGGAGGTGGATGTGTGTGGATGCACCGGGGACATTTGGGACCCTGAGCAACAAGGACGGCAGTTGTGGGGGCTTGTGAAGGCAGAGCAGGACAGTGTATGGATGACATTCGTACTGGGGGTCGGGGTGGTCCTTGAATGCTGAGGGAACTTGGTTGCTGAGAATACGGTTGGGGGAGGTCGGAGACCCCTGTACCCTGAGGACGATATGATGAACCTTAGGGCGCCCTGTAAACCCAGGCCAGGGTCTGGAGTCTTCGGGGACTCCTGAACATTGAGAACAGGACGGTGGACACTGGGGGGCTTTGCACATCCAGGACAGAGTCTCGGAGCGTTAGGGGTGCTGTGCACCAACAGCAACGCGGCGTAGGGCACCCCAATGGCGAGGCCAGGGTCCCAGTAAATAGCGAGGTCCTCGACGCCGGGGCAGAGTCCCTCGTTCTTGGCAGCCCATGCGCCCCCTCACCCCCGGACCCATGGCCCAACAGAGGCCACTCACCAGAGCTGGGACAGGGGCCCGCTTCCGTGCCTCTCGTTCTGATCCCAGGCGCGCCCACCGACAGCCCCTCGGTTCTGTCGCCTCCGTTTCCGGATTAAACGACCTGACGTCACACGCCCCTCCCGTACCCGGAATGCTGGGAGGTGGCAAGAACGCGCGTGCGCACACGCCCTGGAACAGGCCGGAGCGCATGCGCATGCGCACCATCTTCCGTTTCTCTGCGGCAGTCCTGAGGGTGTGCCACACTTTCGCGTTCCGCCTCAGGCAGCCCGGTCACGCCCGTAGCCCCAACCCGCAGGGTTGGTGCACCTTCTGACACCTTCCCCTCAGCCACCCCACAGGTCATGCGTCCCACATCACACCCACTGACTTCTCCCTGATGTTTTTGGGCCTCAGGCACCTGGTAACACCAGGCAGGGTCCTCCTCTGCGGGTCCACCATGGCAGGTGGGGACGGAGGTGGAGATGGCGCCCTTTCCCCTAAGCTGGTCTGCCGGCCAGAAAGCCAGTGGTTGCTGGATTCCACCCCTGCCTCATCCCAAATTGGGATGCATCCCGCCCTGCCCAAGGCTTGGGGCTTGATCTCCCCACTGCCCCTGGCAATGGACAGCCTGCTGAGGGGTGCCCCAATGCCACCTGGGACCACACACCTTCCGGTACTCTTGTCCAAGAAGCCTTGGTGGATATCACCTGCCCCTCCCCGCCCACAGAAGGAAGAGGCAGAGGCCATGCAGTAACATTCCCCTTTAATAGCCTGGTGGGACCTCCAGTGGTGGAAGGATGGGGTGGCAGGGCCCAGGCCACCCAGTCCCCTTGGCCACCCACCCCAGAGCCCAAAGTGGGGGGTTGGACAGCACCCAGCAGGGGGCTAGACAAGCCAATTCATTTCCCATCGCTGAGCAGGTCGGGGCAGATAGCGCCGACCTTAATCACATGGTGGTTAACAAAAAAAAATAACTAGGAGCGGGTGGTAGGGAGAGGAGGCAAGGCCAGGGCATGGGATTTCCCCCACCTGCCACCCCATGCTCCCCACCTGTGGCCCCCAATAAATATTTGCAGGGGACGCCGGGGCTAGTGGCCCTGGCAGGGGTGGGTAGGCGCCAACCCTATTTCAGGCAGCGCTCGAAGTAGGTGGAGCCGATGTAGCCACCTCGCATGGAGCGCTGCACATTCTGCTCAAACAGCCGCCGGTTGTTCTGTAGGACCTCAGCGGCCTCCTTGTTCAGCGGGTCTTCAGGGTTGGGCTCCTGTGGCCAGTATTGACAGGGGTCAACAGGCCCAAGGGGCAGAAGGCCAACCACCCCAAGCCCTACCCACCCAGCCCTACTCACCAAGAAGAGATACTGCAGGCCATAAATTATGGAGTTTATCGTAAGGACTGGCTTCCAGTCCTCTCTGTGGGCAGAAAGCATCAGGTTCAGGGGCTGGCGAGTGGGCAGCTGCCACACGCCCTGCTGGAACTGGACAAGTCAGGCCCAGGGCGTGGGACAGTGCGGATGTGAGCGGCAAGGGGGAGGGTGCAGAGTAGGCCAGGGAGAAAGCCAAGGTCTAGCCATGAGGAAGAAAACATGGAGATGAAGAGATAGATGGACACAGACCACAGGGGGAGGGAAGGAACACTGGTTCAGTGCAAGGCTATGAAGGGGGCCTGGCAGGCAGGGCTGGGTAGAGCAATGGAGGGCCAGCGCCCTCACCTGAGGATGTTGAGGCAGACGTTGCCCTCGAGGTCAATGTTGGGGTGATAGACCATCGTCTCACACTTCACCTTGGGGGGGTCATGCGGGTAACCCTGGCCCACCTGGCTCCAGGAAAAGAGAGCAGGAGGTGGATAGGTGCCCTGGCAGTGCCTGGCTGGGGCCTCAGCTGTTGCCTCCTCAGCCCAGGGAGCCACCCCGGCCCATCTGGGACTCACCTTAAAACTGAACACAAACTTCCCGCTCTTGTAGAAGCCCTGTGAGGGGAAAGAAAAAGGAGTTAGGGCCCCATCCTGCAGGGCATGACAGGTGAACCAGGTCTTCCTACTTGGGAGCCAGCCCCCACCCAGCCTGTGCCTGGGAGTCTAGCTGAGTGTTGCCCTCACCTCATCAGGACAGATAACCAGCTTGAAGTTGAGGAGGTCGTCGGGATCTGAAAAGCTGATGTCACACGTCTTGGGCAGGTTTAGCTCGTTTATGTCTGGGTTTGCACAGCAGAGAAAGAGAACAGAGAGGGGAGAGTGAGAGAGGAGGGTGCTCAGAGCAGGTATGGGTGCCAGCAGCCCCTATGACTTCTTCCAAGACCCCCAGGGCTGTCCTGGGCTGTGCCCCACACCCCCAACTCTCTCCTTGCTCTTTCTGCTCCCCAGTCTCCAAACAGGATCTTCTGGGTCCAAGACACACCCCAAACATGCATCTTCGGTTGTGGCTGTGCCCTAGCTCCTGGCCCAGGATAAACTTCCGACTCTTCTGAATCCACAGACTCCCAAGTGGCCCCCAAGAGCACCTAACAACCGCAAACCCCAGGATCCCCAGCCACGACCTCCAACTTTCTAGTGGGCTCTGCTCATCCCCACCTGCCCACCCGAACTCAAGAACCCTGGCACCTCTATACCCTAAATCATCCCCTCACCAATCCCAGGTCTCCAGCATCTCTCCCCTGCTGTCATCCCAAACCCAGGTTCCTATCTGACCCCCAGACGTGTGAGTCCCCAGCCTCACTCTCCCTGGCACCCACTATCCCCTCCCTCCTCTACCTGTCACCCCAAGCCCCTAATTGCGATATGATGACCCCCAGGCCCCAGAACCTACTCTACCCACCGCACTCTGATTCCCAGTGACCCCAGCATAATACTCTCCCACTCCTATCCTCAATCCGCGGCTCCCACTATCCCCATCTCCTTTGCTTGTCATCCAGGTTCCCGTCTGACCCCCAGACTCTCAGCCCCGGGTCCCCTACTACCACCCTCCACCGCTTGACCCTCAGATTCCCGGTCCCTAATACCAAGTGCCTGCCTGGCTTTCCGAATATCCTAAATGCCCCATCCTGTGCCCCACTTCTCTGATTCCCCCCCACCCCGAATGCATTACCCCATGCGATCCTCCATCACCCCACCTCAGGCCCTGACCTCCGACCCCTCACATCCACGGCCTCCAATCTGACATCACTGACCATGAGGAAAACATTATCCAACTCCTGGTCCCCCATTACCCCACCCCAGGCCCTGACGCCCGACCCCTACCCTTCTGGATCCGCAGCTGCGCCGCCGACGCCTTCTTGCTGCTGCCCTTGGTGCCGCCCGCCGACTCCTCCTCCTTCTTCTGCTGCTTCAGCGAGAACAGCTTGATCATCCTGCCGCCGCCGCCGCCGTCGCCGCGGGGCCCGGGACCCCGGCCACACGGCCGCCCGTCGCCGCCCGCGCCACTCGGACCCCCCGCTGCCGCCTTCTCCGCTGCTGCCGCGGCCCGTCCGGCCTGCCGCGCCGCTCCGCGCCCACCGCGCGACCCGCGTCGGCTCCCGTAGTCCGGCTCCGGCCTGGCCCGGCGCCTCGGGCTCGCTCGGCGGTGCTCGAGCAAACTCGACTCTCCTCGGGACTGCTCGGCCCCGCCCCCACCCGGTCGCTACCTCCGCCTCTTCGCCCGCTCAGGTCAAGGGCCCAGCTGCGGTTACGGACTCAGGCTCTCTGGGACGCGCCGTCGCCTCGCTCACTCGCTCGTTCGCGAAGGGGTTGCGGCTAGGGGTGGAAGGAGGCGGAGGCGGTGTTCAGAAGTCTCGGCTTCCGCGGCAGTAGCGGCTACGGCGCGGAGGTTCGCAACGGCCTCGGGCGCCCTACCACTTCGGCTATTTCCGCCGCCTGCCCGCTTCGGCTCTTCCCGCCTGGCCTGCGCTGTGCACCTGCGCAGCCACCCCCGACGTCTCCGCCCCGCTTTGCTCCCCTATGAGGCTTAGGGTTCGGATTCTTTCGGCCGGGGCTCGAGTACTTCCGCTTGTCCAGGCGTCTCGTGGTCACTTCCGGGGACGCCCGCGGATACAGGCGGGGGCGGTGTCGCCGCCATCTTTAAGTGGGGCAGATGCGGGCAGCTTCGCTCGCTGTCCGGCCATTCCCGCTTGCACTAGTGCAGACCGCAGCGGGGATGGGTCAAATGGGGTCCTTTCCCGGAAGTCACAGACAGAGGCATGGTGATCGTTGCGGGCCAGAGCCCAGGGAGAGGCCAGGGGCGTTTTCCAGGGAGTGCGGAGTCGAGCACCCTCGTGTTCTATCGCAAACCCAATCAACCCGCTCGGGGAGATTCTAGTTGAGGTAAACTAACAAAATGTATTGTGCCAGAGAGCGGTCAGCATTCTGGAGGGTAATGCGGGTGGACACTCGGGTGGGGGCCGATTTCGGGGAGTTCAGCGGAGCGCAGGATGATCTTCCGCCGTCTGCGACGGGGGCTGGGCCAGCCTCCCCTCCAATCACAGCTCAGCATGTCCCTCAGGGTTCTGCGACTTCCGGCTGTCAACGCGGAAACCGTGAGGCGGGTCGGGAGCGGCGCCAGGAGGGCTGCCTAGTGCGGGGCTGACCAGTCAGGACAGCCGGGGCTCTGCAGCTCAGCCCTTCCGCATCCGCGGGTGCCTCCCGCGGCATTTCCCCTTCTGTCCCTGAGACAATGCGCGGTCCCCTCCCAGAGTACTGTGGGGCCGCTTTGCGGTCGGCCAGGTTCCTCTCAGCCATCTGCCCTGGCCCAGGCCCAGGCCCGTGGTTCTTACATCCGCCCCAGTCGCTATCCTAACCTCAGGGAGTCGCCTCCACCTCGTCGGACATAGGTCTGGCATCCATCCCGGTCTCAGCTTCCGTGGAGGCTCTGCCCTGTGAGTGCCTGTTATCCTTAGCGTCCTTGGTCTCCGTGGACTGATCCCAGCTGTATTTCTGTAATCGCTTCCCCCTTTCGGCCCTTCCATTCTCAATGCCACCAACCCAGACGCCCCCTTTATCTCCTCTGTTGTTCCAGCCTCACATTCCCAGCATCGTTTCTGGACTCCCGTGAGAGCTGAATGCTGGAGGGGTGCAAGGCTAAGTAAGGATGGGGGCTCAAGTCTCAAACAGCTCAGGTTTGGGACCGATGTAATTGCAACCATCCCAGCGTTCTCAAGCTTCAGACATAGCTGGTCCTAGGACTCAGAGGGCACCTCCAGACTGAAGTTCTCCCTGTAACCCTTCCTCTCCGTTCTTCTTAGCCATTCTGCTCTTGCTGATTATTTTCATAAATGCTGTCTCCACATTATGGTTAATGACCATCATGCTCTTTCCAGCCAAAGTTTCAGGGGGTGGTTTCAATTGGCCAGCCTGGTCCATGTGCCCATCCTCAGGCCGGTTGCTGAGGCCCATCAGCTGATGGCCCATTGGGGGATAGGGTATTGGTTCCCTGGAGAGGTGACACTGGACTAGCCAAAGCTGGACTTCTGTGGTCTCTAACATCGTGGCTTCCCCACAGTGCAGTGGGAAAGACTCAGCCATGCAAGCAATGTTAGGAAAAGGGGGCCATTGGGTCTGGACTAGGGAGGGAGGGCATGGCCAGACTGAGGCAGAAGGGCAGGTCGGAAGTGGTGCATCTGTGTCTTCTTGTCACCCTCACAACCACCCAAGTGGTGGAGGGGCACAGGTGGTTTGGGTGTCAAGAGTGCCTGCAGGCTCTGGGCCTGCAGCCTCTTGGGAGGCAACACAGGTCTTGGCATGTGCAAAGGCCCTGAGGGAAGCTGGGGTCAGTCTAGGGTGATGAGGCAGAACATGATGGGCGAGGAGTGAGGTGTAAGGGTAGTCTCTGGGAGATGACACTGGGAAGATAGTGTCTTTTATTTTTTAGATTTAATTGGGGAATTGGGGGATGGGAACAGCCAAGTTGTTGTCCTTCAATCTTAGTTGTGGAGGGCCCAGCAAGCTCAGCTCCATGTCCAGTCTCACCGCTCAGCTCAAGGTACTATGTTCAATTAGTTGTGGGTGGGTGTAGCCACCATCCCATGTGGGAGTCGAACTAGCAGCCTTGTTAAGAGCACACGCTCTATCCACTGAGCCATCCAGGCGGCAGCTTAGCACAAGGTGCCAAGTTCAGTCTTAGTTGCGGGTGGGCACAGCCCACCATCTTGAACAAGTAACCTAGTTGGGAGCACGTGCTCTCACCAGCTGAGCCATCCTGCCACCTGTTGGCAGCTCAGCTCAGGTGCAGCTCACTGGCCCATGTGGGAATCAGTGACCCTGTTGCTCAGAGCTCACATTCTTGAGGAAGCTCTTAACCAACTGAGCCACTCGGCAGGCCCCCCAGTAGTGTCTATTTTTGAAAGGAGGGGCAGGAGCAGGCAGGGTGGCTGAGTGCTGTGCACCTCCAGGCTGGAGATAGGTAGCTGGGGTCAGAGCAGTGCTGGGGAGTGGAGAACTCTCAAGTGGACAGATTTGGGAGGCTGGGGTTAGGGTGAGAATAACTGGATTTATATTGCATGGGGAGGCTGGGCTTGGGAGAATGGGGTAAAGTCTGGAAAGAATGTGGATTTACAGATAAATCCTTTCACCTTTTACACCTAAGAAATGTCTCTCTAGGTTTAAAGTTTTACAAACACATCCCCAGGCTAGCTATGGCCTGCTGTGCACCAGTTTGCTACTTCTATTGCATGTGATAATCTTGGCTGGCTGGGGAGAACTGGGCCAGTCCAGGTCCACGCCTGGCAGCTGGCTTGGTGTGGATGTGTGGGTCGAAGGCATCTTGGGCAAACAATACAAGAGCCATGGTACAGGGTGCACCCCACAGACGTGGGCAGCTGCTGCTAGGCGCCACCTCTGCAGGGAGCCCTGGCTCTCCTAGGAACCACGGGGTTAGGAGTGGTGGATGGATGGAGTTGGCAGAGGGACCCCAGCAGGTGGGGAAGTAGAGTGTGTGTGGTGTGTGTGTGTGTGTGTGTGTGTGTGTGTGTGTATAGACCCAGACCCAGGTTCTTTCTACTGTTTATTGAGCATCTACTGGTGGGGAGGAGAAAGGGGGGTCAGGCCCTAGGTGGAACCTGCTTGTACGTATGTGATTGCAGTCTTCACAACAACCCTGTGAGGTAGGTAGTCTGTCCTGCTTAACCCACAGACAGCACGGAGGTGGAAACAGCGAGGTGGTGTAGCGAGTACTGGCTACTCCACGCTGTGGACACGCTGGTGCTGGATAAGCTTGGTGCTCTGGTGGAAGCGCCGGCCACAGTCTTGGCAGGCGAAGGGCTTCTCGCGCCTGTGGGTGCGCAGGTGTTGCGTGAGCGTGGGCCGCTGGCGGAAGGCCTTGCCGCACTCGGGGCAAGTGTAGGGGCGTTCCCCTGTGTGGATGCGCCGATGCTGCGTGAGGTTGGCGTGCTGCCGGAAACTCTGGCCGCACTCTGGGCAGGTGAAGGGCCGCTCGCCCGTATGGATGCGCTGGTGCTCAGTGAGCCGTGAGACCTGCGTAAAGCCCAGGCCGCACTCTCCGCAATGGTAGGGCTTCTCACCGGTGTGCGTCCGCTGGTGGCGCGTGAGCTTGAGACGCTGGCTGAAGCGCTGGCCGCAGTCAGGGCAGGCAAAGGGCTTCTCGCCCGTGTGTACGCGCAGGTGCTGAGTAAGCGTGGGCCGCTGGCGGAAGGCCTTGCCGCACTCCGCGCAGGCAAAGGGCCGCTCTCCCGTGTGGATGCGCCGGTGCTGCGTGAGGTTGGAGCGCTGTCGGAAGCTCTGGCCGCACTCGTTGCAGGCGAAGGGCCGCTCGCCGCTGTGCACGCGCCGGTGCTGTAGCAGCACCGAGCGGCGGCCAAAGCGCTCGCCGCATTCCACGCAGCCGAAGGATTTGTCCCCAGTGTGCACGGCCTGGTGCTCCAGCAGCACGGCACGCTGTGCAAAGCTCTCACGGCACTCACTGCACGGGAAGGGGCCTGGTGGCTCGGGCACGCTGGGAGGCGCGGGGGGCCCAGCGCCTGGGCCCGGAGGGTCACCGTGGATGCGCTGGTGCTGCAGCAGGTTGGAGCGCTGCCGGAAGCTCTGGCCACACTCGGCGCAGTGGAAAGGCTGCTCACCCGTGTGCACGCGCCGGTGCTCCTCCAGCCGTGCGCTGCGCAGGAAGCCCTGGCCGCAATCACCGCACACAAAGGGCCGCTCCTCAGTGTGAGTGAGCTGGTGGCGCAGCAGGTGCGAGCTGCGGCTGAAGCTGCGGCCGCACTCGCCACACATGAATGGTCGTTCTCCCGTGTGTATCTTCTGGTGCCGCAGCAGGTTGCTACGTTGGCTGAACACCTTCCCACACACGTCGCAACGGCCACCTCGTACTGCCCCGGCGCCTGTGCTCCGGCGGCCCCGGCTCCTGCCCCTGGGAGCGTGCCAGCGGGCAGTGGCCAGTATGTGGCCCATGCCTTGGCACGGATCCTCGTCCATGGGGTCCTGCTCACCTCCTGGGTCGCTGGGGAGCAGGAGTGCATGTGAGAAGCCACCTTCTCGGGAGGGTGACCGGAGTTGGCCCGTGAGGCCGGACACACCGAAGTCCCAGGGGATGCGCAGGTGGGGGTTCATAGTGCCTGAGCCAGCAGAGACACTGTCCATCTGGAGCACAAAGCCTGCATTGCATAAGGGGATCCACTTCTTCATGACAGAACCCACTGTGTGCCCAGACCACTACAGCCCTGGGAAAAGTGAACTAGAGGGACCTGAAACTGACCAAGGTGGTGACAAAGCATGAAGGGGGAGACTGAGAAGCTGGGGATAAGCTTTCCAAGTCTGACTTAAGTTTGCAAAAATCGCCTTTCTGGAAGGGCTGTAGTGCAAAGGTTGGGGCAGGTGGCCCTTGTACTGTCCAGGTGGGTGAGGATGGTTTCCACAAATGCAAGGAAGTGGGTGGGTCTCATGTACCTTGCTTTATGCCCATGGGGCATCTGAGGGACAGAGGGTGCATGCAGGCTGTGGGGTATATGGGAGTCTGGCCCAGTCTTCAAGGAAACATGAACATGTGTGCTGTAGCACATCCATGGCATGTGGTACCCTAGGCCTGCATGAGAGCAAATGGGTGGGTGTCTGTGGAGAAGAGGAGTGGGCCCCAGCGGTGCCCTGAGCACACCAGCATCAGATGCTGGGTGACAGAGGAGGAGTGAGCAAGGGCAAGTTAGAAGAAGTGACCGGAGAATAGAAAGCCCAGGGGAAGTTAAATCAAGGAGACTAAGAGAGTAGCAAGGGCTTCGCTGGGTGACAGAAAATCCCCACATCAAAAGTCAGATATATGATACTGCATCAGAGGAAATAACTTGTACTCAGCAGAAACAGCCTGAGTCAGAAAACGAATGGCAAACTGAGAAACTCTCCAGAGGCAAAGAGATAATTAACTTTCTAAAAGCTGAATTAACCAACAAGACCAACAACCTGACAAACGTGGGCAAAGGATGCAAACAGGAAACAAAATGTTACTAACACTTAAATCCCATAAAACATCCTTTTCTCCCCCCCAATAAGAAAACTACGTTAGAGGTGTACTCATCTACCGCTTCCACACCCACTGCAGGGACCCAAGCGTTTGTGTGTATTGCTGGTGAACGTAAGTGGAAAGCCAGTGTGGCAAAATACATAAAAATGGCAAGTTTCCCACCCTTTGATTCAGCAATTCTTTTAGGTACTTCTCAAACAGTTGTGTTCCCGTCTGTGAGAAATGACCTGTATTCAAGGTTTCTCACTTCAGCACTGAAAAGCAACTCAAATAGTGGGAGCCTGGATACATGTACACAGTGGGGCTCTACGCAGCTGTGCAAAGATGAGGGCACTCGCACAAAAAATGCCAGGTGTGGGACAGGGTGAAGAGAAGCATCCATTTGTGTTCTCAAGAAGGGAAATGAGTATGCATCTGAATTTGTGTTTGCTATTCTATAAACAGAATCTTTCTGGAAGGACACACAAGAAGCTGCTAATGTTGGCTGTTGGGAGCAGGACCATGTGACACAGGCAGGGGAGGGGCATTCTATTGTGTACTCCCTCTTGCCCTCTGAATTTTCTAACATGTGAGTGCATTAGCTATTCAAAATATTCTCATGATGAAAACACAAGCTACACAGAAAGTGTTCATAGGGAGGAGGCAGGAGCCCTGGTGGGGAAACCACAGTGGCTGAGGGGAACCTGTGTTTGAAGATACGCAGTGCAACCTGAGGAGAGACAGGGGCTGCAAAGAAGGAACCCAGCAGGGAGCCTGCAGCAGTGGCTTGGTGGGTGGTGGTGTGGCTGGAGAAAGCCAAGATGGGCTATGATCTGAGAGAAGCAGGTCCAGGCTTGAGGGAGTGACCAGCCAAATGGCAGAAGGGGCACATGCAAGATCCTACTCTCTGCTCCAGAAGGGGCACATGCAAGATCCTACTGTCTGCTCCAACACAGAGCATAAGAAGAGACAGGTGATGAGGTTCAGGGGTGCAGAGCCTGGGGCAGTGAGCTGTGGAGGCCCAGGGACTAAAGTGGGAGGTTGAGATGGGCTGGCAGGTCACCCACAGACCTGAATACGAATAAGCTGTCTGCTTGCTGGGCTGCAGAGGCATCTACACTGAATGGCCTGGGGCCCAGGTGATCCTTCCACTTTAGGGTTTTGATGGGCCCTGTGGCAGCCCCTCACTTAGGATGATGCTTAGGGTGGGGACAAACAAGCTCCTAGAGCTGAGACGGGCAGGCTGTCAACAGTGCCACCAGTACGAGAACGCACAGCTGAGCTAACCATCCAGTCTGGGAAGGACACTGAACTATTTCCAAGACCTCAAAGGAGGGGCCAGCATCCAGGAATCAAGGACATTATGAAAAAAGAACAAGTTACAACCCTCACTGGTAACAAACAGCAAACATGAACTTCTAGGAAACAATGGCATGTATTTAGATTTGTTCCATCCTGAAACAACAGTAAACACCACAATAAAGTGTTTTGTTTGTTTTTTTTTTGCATAAAATCCACAAAGATGGAGAGAAGGGGAAAGGGAACAAACCCCTGACCTTTTCTACTCTGGAAAGCAGATGGCTAAACGGTGACTGTAGCAGACTGGAGAAGGGGAATACTAAGTCAGCAGTGGGGAAAATTGAAAAACGAAAACAAAAACCAACCTGTTTTATCCCAAAGAAGACTAGAAAAGTTCAGGAGTTGGAGGCAACAGGTACCTCTTGGCTGTGCAGGTGAAGGGGTACGGGCACGCAGGTGGGGGAAGCTGTTTTAGAAGCAGAATCTGGGCAGGGCTATAGATGACAGCCCTGGGCTTTGTCTGCACAGCATTCTGAGCAAGTGGTGAGCACTGCTGTAGCCCTGATTCCTGGCAAATGGCTGGGTTGAAGGTGGGAGACCATACTGAGGAAGTTGAGGGATTAAGTGAAGTCACACTGTGTGCTCAGACACCAGCCTCTCTTCTGGGACGCTGGCAAGAGGCTGCAAGTACCTTCTTGGAGGATGCAGGAAAGCCCTGAAGATGCTCAGAGCAAGGGGTGCCCCCAAATGGCCCAGCCAGATTGCCCTAAAGACCCTTCAGCAGCATCCACTAACACGCCACCCTTCCTCTCATGTCACCCAAGATGTGGGTCTCCTTGGGGAGTGACCGCCCCCACATCCTTCCCAGCCCCACACCCACCCGCTCAGAGCCGCCAGATTTGTGGTCCCCCTTCTTATACATAAGCAGACAACTTGGAGGGAACAGAGACCACACTGGGAGAAAAAACTTACAAAACAAGTTACTGCTATTCCCAGAGAAATAAGGAAAGATGTTAGAACAGTAAGAACAACAAGGAGTAGCTACAAAAACATGAATGTTTAAGGAATGAAAACACTTAAAAAATCAAAACTATGCTAGCAGATATGGAAATCTCAACAGAAGGTCTGGAAGATATAATTGAAGAAATTTTCTGGAAAAAACAAAGAAAGGGATGGAAGATTGGAGTGAAAAGATAAGAACATTAGAGGACCTGCTCCAGAGGCCAACAGCCAAGGAACAGGCATTTTAGAAATAAGAACAAAATGGAGAAGGAAGCCCAAGAAACAGTTCTAGCCAGTTTCCTACAACTGAGATGTGATCTTCAAATGGAAAGGGCTCTCCAATAATGAGATAAAAAAGGTTTGAGACTACCAAGTTAATAAAAAGAATTCTTCATCCAGCCAAACTTAAATCTAATGTTGAGTGTTAGATACATGCATTATGCTCAACACCAGAGTTCATGGGAAGGTCCACCAGAACAAGGGAGTAAACCAAGAAAGGAGTCCAGGAGCCTGGATGATGGCAGGCTTAGGACTGAGTGGCCGAAGTGGACAGCAGGGGCCTCTGGCCTGAGATGCTGTATGACTGGGTAGAATCCTGCTCTTCTGCCCACCCTCCCTCTCTATTAACCTGCTCTCCCTGCCATTCCCCACCCTCCCTACCCCACCACCCAGTCAGTGGGATGTGAGCAAATCTCAGGGCCACCCGGGATGCCAGGGCTGGGAGATGTGGGTATGGGGAACACAGGCCCCTCTTAAGAGGTTTCATTATGGGGGAGCAGCAGCGGGAGGGGTGTGAGGCCAGTGGAGGGCTTGGCTTTTAGGGCAGGACGGTGTAGCAGGTTGATGTTGCAGGAGACAGTCCGGGGAATAGGGTAGCAGGGCTAGGAGTGGAACAAGTGGATGTGCTACTGCTCATGCAGGAGGCCCAGCTCCACCGTGCCTTGTCTTACTCACCTGGGGAGAAGATGCCCTCAGCTTCCTCTTGCCACAGGGCCTCAGGGTGTTCTCTCCATGAAGGCCCCTCAGGCTCAGTCTCTCTGTGGGAAGAGGCCTGGTCCAGTGCCATCCCACAGCCCTGAAACCACAGTGGTCACAGCTCATCTGTGCCCTGCTAGGCCCAGGGGGGTACATACCCAACCCCCACCCACAGCGGCTCCTGGGGCAGGGAGCAAGACACAGCCTGTGCAGGGCTCACCTGGGCCTTGTTAGGCAGGAGAATGGAAGTGGCCTCCTGGGGGTTGGCTAGAGGCCCAGAATCCAGAAACTCTGGAGAGGAAGGGTAGGGTCAGTCGGCCCAAGGCCATCTCCACCCTGCTGCCCTCCTCAGTGGTGTGCCAGATGCTGGGATCAGGTAGGGTGAGAGCTGTGTGCAGGCTTGGGGCTGGGCATGGCAGGGTAGCTCTAAGAGCCCAACTCGGGGGTGGAGTAAAGCAAGACGAGGTAGGCTCAGGTCTGTACCCTGCACCCCTGCATGAGACTGGGGCTGATGGCCAGCTTGGGCAGGAAAGGGGCAGTGCACAAGGGTCCACACAGGAATGGTGGAGAGTGTGGGCGGTCAGCTGTGGCACCTGCCTGAGGTGTATCAGTGGGGTGTGCCCCCCAGCACTTTGGGGTCCTCACTCAGCTGCTCCCACCCATGCTCCTCAGTGACTGACAGCTAACCCTCACTGATAATCCTCAGGGAATGAACCCCACATGCCTCCCACACACGGAAACCCCAACAGCCTGGTTCATGTCAGGGGAGAGTGTGGGAACACAGCTGTGACAGACTTGGAGTGGGAGAGATAGTGACAGCCACTGGCTGGGTGGGATTTGGGGGCCACCAATGCATGGGAATGATTTCATCCAGCAGGTGACCAGCCTAGTGAGCTTCAGGCCAGACTCCCATGGTCCATCCAGTTAGGCCTTGGGCCCTGCCCACTTTGCCTGCCCTCACCTGGGTCCTCTGTTATCTCGGGCTCCTCTTTCACCTGAAGGCTCATAGGTGACTTCTGCGTGGCCCCAAGAGGCGTCTCAGGCCCAGATTCTGTAGTCCGAGGCTTGGTTTGAGGGTGGGGCTGGAAGTCCAGGGGCTCCATCTTCTCTGATAGCACCTCCTGACCCTGCACCTGGACTGTGACCTGGGGAGGTACCCCCTTGATCAGGGGCCCAGGCAGGGCACTGGGCCGGGCATTCACCCCATTGTGGGACTCCAGGGGTCCTGACTAGGTCTTCCAAGGACCCACCTCCCCTGGGGACTGAGCAGCGAATGAGGGGACCACATGTAGCTTCTCTCCTGTTTTGACACCTACAGCTACCCAGTGCCCTACCTCTCTCCATGCTGCATTCCTTCCATGACTCCAGGTGATGTAGGAATGGGCCAGCAACATTGGCCCTGGAACCCTGTCTACTCTTGTGAACACTTCCTAACTACAAGGGACAGGCATCTAGTTGAGCATGGTGCCCCCCCCCAGGGTAAGGCAGAACTGGGTACATTCCAGCCCTGACCTTTGCCCAAGGGCCACTGACTCACCCATCTGCGGGGACCTCCTGGCTCCCGACGCAGCCCCTCAACCAGGGCTGCAGCCTCCTCAGGGCTGCCGGGCCACTGTCCCCGCACGCGGGCTTGGATCTCAGGGGGCAGCGAGCCCAGGAACTGCTCCAGCACCAGCAGCTCCAGCATCTGCTCCTTGGTGTGCACTTCAGGCCGCAGCCACTGGCGACACAGCTCACGCAGCCGGGCCAGGGCCTCATGGGGACCTGCCACCTCCTCATAGCGGAAGTGCCAGAAACATTGACGTGCCGCCTCTGGGCCGGGATTCCATGGGGCGACCTCCTCTTCCTGAGAGTCCTCCAGCTTCACCATAACAGGCCTCTTGTCCTCTGGGGGTACATGTTCCGAGGAGCCCAGTGCTACAGGCCTCATTGGAACGACGGGAGCTGGGCTCTAAGGCTAGTGTCTGCCCCTGGGGGAGGAACAGGTTGCTGCAGTGAGAACAGTGGCAGCAAACGGTTATTGAGTGCCTACTGTGTGCTGTGCTGTTCCATCCTCAGACCTGCCCCGAGTGGAAGGCAAACGAGAGGCAGTCACATGCCAGGGACCTGTGGGGCTGGTAAGCCCTCCATGAGCCACCTGTTCCTGGTCTCTGTAGCTGGGCCTGCAGAGTCTCCGGCAGCCCCTGCTCTAACTACTTATTAGTGCGAGAAGTCACCTCCTCTCCCCTACATCCTGCCCTTCTGCACGCACATCATCCCTGCCCTGAAGCTCTCCCTGACAGGTGAACGGCACCAACACTCAACACCACTATTATACCCCCATGCTAGCCCATCATTGCACCATCCACTCTCCCACCCAGTCTCAGACCACTTCCCTGCCATCTTGGTTCCTTCCACAGGGTTGCCTCCCTTCACCTGCCCCCTGCCCCCGCCCTCTCCCACACTGTGCAAGCCCCCAGTAGCATCCTCGCCAAATTCAGCCTTATCCTGAGCCCAACTTATCATACCATGCAATGCCCCACTGTGTCCTGTTTCTTGATTTAGGTGGAGCTAGGAGGTGATGGGGGAGCCCCCAGGGAGCCCACAAAGGCCCTGAGACCAATGGAGCGGGGCCTGTGAGCTAGGACGAAGATTCTGATCTCGCCTATTTGTCACGTAACCTTGGCAGGTCGCTGTGTCTCTGTGAGCCTTAGTTTCCTCATCTGCAAATGGGGGCGGCCCTCCGCTGTTCCTTCTGCAGCTGGGGGTAAGGCACGGGCTTTGTGAGGGACTCTTTTATTAAGGGGATGGTTTCGATTTTGAGGGTCGCCTGGACCCGTGAGCCAAACCTCTGCTCCTCAAGGTTCCAGATCAACCTGAAACTCGCAGAAAGTTGGGTTGTCGCCCAGCCAGCCGACCCTGCGGAGGTTCCTGAACTACATTTACCGAAAGTCCTGGAGGGCAACTTCCGCTTTAGGGAGTTCCCCTGCAGGTCCTGGTGCCGCCAAGGCAACCGGGGACCGGAGTGTCCAGGTTCCTGCTCCGCACTTCCCAGTCCCGCAAGGCAGCCGGAATCCACGAGTTGGCAGCCGCCACCAGGGTCCCTGCCCAAACCTTTCCAGGGGGAGGACCCCACCCTCACCTCCGCGCTCAGCGGGCAGCTCCCGCGCTCCTGAGCATGCGCACTCGCCGACTTCCCCTCCCCAGCCGGACTATGTCTCCCAGAATGCTCTACGCACCAGCCCAAGCGCCTCCTTGCCCTTCCCCCACCCTCGCCTCTGTTGCCACCCTCCTCCTCCTGTTCCCCCGAGGTAGCGTTGTTCCCAACGATCAAGTCACACTCCCGGACGCCTCTTCCTGCGGTCCCGCCTCAGATCCAGGCGTCCGGGCCCCCGTGGACGTACGCAAGCTTCTCAAGGGGCAACGGACAGCAACACCGCCTTCCCAACCGCGCATGCCTCCCACCACCCTTCCCTCAGTCTCTCCGGGCTTTCAGGGATTAGCAGGAATCTGCACCAATCACGGCCCTCGATAGGACGCTGTCAGCCTGGGTCTCCATGGCAACCCCCAGGCGAGAGGAGGCACCTCTTTCACCGCCCGCCCGCATCGCAAAATAAAGAGGCTCGGCTGGATGCCTTCTGGGAGTTGTAGTCAGCCGGGCCCCCAGTGCGCGCGCGTGCGGCCAGACGACGTTCCTTTGTGCTAGTGAGAGGTACCGTCTCCATGGTAACCGTTTGGGCCGACCAGGAGGTCTCCAAGGCAACCCGGGGATTCTGCGGGTGTCTGAAAAGCGATGAGGAATTGAGGTGAGGGCTTGGGGAAGGGACTGGGGCTGAGACACCGGGAGGGAGAGGCAGACAGACAGACAAGTGACACAGGGGCAGGGAGAGATCCAGAGCTTGCAAGGGTAGAGACTCAAGTAAGTGAACAGACGTAAAGAAAGACATGGAGAGGGATTTCTACTCTGAGACCTAGAGAGTGATAAGCCAGCGAGGCAGGGAGTCAGGCCCCAGGAGATAGATGTGTCAGAATACTTAGCAAACAGGGATGGAGGAGGTTAGGAAGAGATGGAAGTGAAAGGAGAGACAGAGGGAGAGGAAGATTAGATTTACAGAGACAAGAAGTGCAGACATTGAGAAATCAAGGGACAGACAAGGATACAGGAGTACAGAGACAAGAGGGGAGAAAGGGACAGAAATCAGATACAGTAAGATGGTTTGAGACTTTTCAAAGATTAAGACAAGGTGACAGACAGCAAGAAGAGAGACAGAGTTGGAGGGAAATTTGTTAGGAAAACTTACCCAAAACTTGACAATAAGACAAAAATGATGACTGTGAGCCCTGTCTGATTCACTAAGGGAAACTTTTTTTTTTTTTAAGATTTCTTTTTTTTATTGGGGAATTGGGGGGATGGGAACAGCGCTGGGGAATTGGGGAAGGGGAACAGACAAGTTGCTGTCGTTTTGGTCTTCAGTCTAGTTGTGGAGGACGTTGCTTCACTGGCCCAAGTTGGCGCCATCATTGCGCTCTTCCCGGGCGAGGCAGATCAGTCGCCGGCTTCTGGACGGCCGCTCACGCTGGCTGCTGGCTACATACGG